GCAGCGACATAAGAATTTTTGGCTGAGCTCATGTCGTGAGGCGAGGGTTAGAGGAGAGAAAAAATAAATAGGCTCTTGATATCATGTGAAATAATAGAAAAGATTACCTTCAAAGGGAGCCTGACAGATATATTTATAATAATGAGAGTTACCAAAAATACAAAGTATACCTAATTTAATATTAGGCTATTACTAAGTGCTACGTTTACAAACTAAAATTTTGGCCCCCTATAAAAGTAGACTCCAAAGTCAAACACCTATTGCACCTACAAAAAGACGGGATTAATGAAAGTGATTTATCATTAAAATCTTTTGTGATGGGCAAAAAAGGACGCTACCACTTTCCTCAAAGCAAAGTTGAATCCCCAATTCTAGGAGCCCTCATGCTCTGACCCGATAAGACATATAAGAGGTAGCAAATCACGGTGACGCAACAATCCAAACGAGGTTAGACTTTATATTCATGCGCATCAAATTTGAGTCCAACTAAATGAGTTATAACCTCTATACGATCATTGCACATTTTGATTTTTGATCATTGCCCCAATTTTCTCGCGGCATGATCAATTGAGCTACTCATGTCGATAAGGAAAGGACACTAACACACGTGGGAAGGAAGGATGAAGAAATAAATGGGGAGAGCAAAACCACGTGGACTTGGATCCTCTAGTTTTATTCCAATGGAGGAGACATTCGGTGATGCTCTGTCCTTAGAAGTGCAATTTCCAACTCTACCCATACATCAATCTCAACTCCCAAAATGACTGGGTTACCAGCATCCACAACATCACTGTCCTGTCCTTGCCGTACAATTTCGAGTTCCACCCACCCCATCCTATCGAATTGATGCCGAATTGATTCTGAAAACAGCATTGAATTTTTTGGTAGAAGGTAAACATATATAGACGTTGCAAAAATTCTGTACATCATTAGAGGGGCATTCCCCAATCAAACTCAAGCAAAAAACAAACTTTTTCCAAACCACAAGATTCAAAGAGTTCAGAAATCAATCATGTTAATGGGATAAATTTTGAACAACACCCGATAAACAAGTAGTCTAATCTGAAAGATTACTCCCTGGACAGTCGCATTTTTGTGCGCAAAAATGAGCTCATTTCTTGCTTTCCATATTGAGTATACAGTACAACATATAGCCAACCGGACAGCTTTGCTTCTTAACCTTGCTCCCCTGTATTGCTTCATGCATAATTTGACCGTGCTCAGTAGTGTTGTAACATTCTTTTTTATTTGCAGCCAATGTCTAACACCTTCCCATATTGCTCCAGAGAAAGCACACTTGAAGAATAAATGATCGGCAGAGTCCACATGAGCTTTGCAAAAGCAACACGCCCTATCCATTTCAATATACCACAAATTATCACATGTTGGGAGTCTATTTCTCAACCCAAGCCATAGTATAAAAGAATACTTGGGAGGGATGTATTTTTTCCAAATAAGTCTCATCCAAGGTTTACTATTTCCTTTAACCCTCATAAGGTCATAGACCTTGGATGATTGGAGTTTCCCATCAACACAACATTTATTGAGGCTATTTATGATTCCATCTTGTCCTCCCAGTAATGCATCCAATGTCTCTCTAATTCTGATCAATTTGCTAAATAAGGGTGACACCCCAGACGGAGGTGTCCAATCCCAAATAGAGCAATTTTTTAGATACACATTATTGACCCATTTGACCCAAAGAGTATCTTTCTTCAGGTGGATGTCCCATAAAGTTTTAGCTAGTAGGGCAGAATTCCAGATTTTGCAGTCCCTTAATCCCAACCCTCCCTCTTCCTTTGGCTTGCACACATCATCCCAAGCTACCTTAGCATTAGGGCCTCCCCATAAAAAATGTCTACAATGTGATACAACCTTCTCAATTACCGCTGCTGGTATAGGAAAAACTTGAATCCAATAAGACTGAATGCCTTGTATGACTGCTCTTATCAGTTCCAACCTACCAGCATAACTCATGGTGTTTGTTTTCCATTTCATAGTAAACTTCTCAATTTTTTCAACTAGAGGAGAGTATTGGGTCACTGAAACCCGTATAGGGGCCAACGGTACTCCCAGGTACCTAACTGGAAACTGTCCGCTAGGAATGCCAATCATGTTCAATATCATGCTCTTCTCCTGTTGTGTGACTCCTGCTAAGAAGATATTAGATTTAGCAATATTTATTGCTAAATAAATATATATTAGAAAACAGCATTGAATTCAATGCACTTCAAACGTGTAAATAAAGTGTAATGCTACATGAAACAATTTTATTACTCCCTAGTTGTCTTATTTTAACTAGGTGTGGGTGGTTTATTTCCAAAATTGAGTTGCAATTTTGACTTTTTTGGTCAAACAAATTCGTTTTGTTCGTTTAATTAGGATGCCAATTTCTAATTATATTCCAATTTGGACTTTACAACTTTGAAGAGATTTGAATGTAGTTTATGAATATGTAAATTTTAATTATTAAAAATTGAATTAATTATCAATAAGAAGGTTTGACTTTTATTATTGGTTGCCCAAAAAATATTGACTTTGCAAAACAATTTGAGACGGAGGGAGTACATTTTTACGTACAGTTCTCATGCACTCGTCTTTACATAAAATTGTTTACCTATAAACAATTCTATACTAAACATTTTTCTATTTTAACACTCAATCTCTCTATTATAATTTCATCAATTGTCTGGTACCTAGAAAATAATGTAAAATACTATTCCTTCCGTTCATAAATTAAAGTACAACTTTAATTTTTGAGATGTTCCTAAATTAAAGTCCCGCTTCTTTATTTGGTAAACAAATCTCTATCAAACAGCGTCAAACAATGTCCTCTACAGTAAAATTTACCCTTCGATAAATTTACTTCCTTAATATGTGTCAAGTCAAATTAGGAATTTTATTAAGGGACGAAGGTGTATGATCAACAAGGGTAGAACTAGAGAGGGCTCATCTAGGCTTTGACTCAACTCAAATTTAAAAATATCTTAATTTCTAACGTAAAATGTTTGGTATAATCCCCCCCCAAAAAAAAATCTTTCTGCCGACCTAGTGCCCTTATTCCGCCCTGATGATTGATGTTTGTTCAGAGAAGAAAGTCATAGTAATAAAATTGAACATATTGGTAACTCAGAGTCATTGTACTTTTTCACATTTGATTCCAGAGTATAAAAATTCACTTTTGTACATCATTTAGGCAAAGCTTTATATCCAAACTTGGTGAGAAATACTCAGAAAGGTAACAAGGTTATCTTTTCCTACTAGCATATTAATAAGAGTGTAATGTATGAAAAGTATTAATAAGAGTGTTACTCTTAACCACAGAGTGATAGTCGTAGGTAGATTCTTAGAGTTCTATATAAATCGCTTATGTTTTTGTCTATATAAATTTATCATTTATGTCACTATTTGTGTCATTTTCATAATCATTTGATGCCACTTTTCTGCTTAAATGTACAAGTCCCAATCTTCGTATGAATATAAACCTTAATTAAAGAGCATTGGTGTACTTTAGACCACACATCTATGAGTCTCTCACTTCATATCTAATCTTTCCCACCCCACTCGTGAGAACCTTACCATCAACAACCATAATACGGAGTATGAGAATACTTCTATTTAATAGGGTGTAGACTAGGGATGGACTCGGTTCGGGCCTTGAACCGGCCGGGCCTCGGTTCAAGGTTTGGGAGGCCCGGAACCGGGCCGGGTAACCCCGGGTCCGGTTCGGCCCGGGCCACCCGCCCGGTTCACGGGCCGGGCCCGGTTCGGGCCGGTCCTTTTAATTTTTTTTTTAATTTATATATTATATTATTATAATACTCCCTCCGTCCCGGGGAGAAGTTCCCAATTTCCTTATTTGGATGTCCCAAAAGAAACTCCCCATTTCCCTAAATGGAAAGTTATCCTACATTAAAACAGTGCCAAACAGTGCCAAACAGTGTCGAAACAGTGCCAAACAGTGTCGAAACAGTGCAAAACAGTAAAATTTACCCCTCAGTAACTTTATTTCCTAAAAATGTGTGAAAGTCAACCCGGGAACTTCTCCCTGGGACGGAGGGAGTAATTGTTATTAAAAACAAAATTCAAGTGCATTTATTTGAAATAGGAAGTACATTTGAGAATTGAGGAAAATGTTTTACATATTGTGTATAATTTACTTAGAAAAGTGATTTGATTTAGAAAAGTGTAAGGAAAGTGATATGATTTAGAAAATTATACATATTGTGTAAGGAAAATGTTTTTAATTTTTTAATTAAGTAAAACTATTTTTACTTAGAAAAGTGATTTGATTTATAATTTACAAATGTTACAAAATAGGTGTATAAGTTGTAAGTTGTAAGTTTGTAACAAATTAATTAATTTACATATTAATATTACATATTTTAATTTAAAAACAGCCTTTACATTTTACAAAAAAAAATTCAAGTTGTAAGTTATAAGTTTGTAACCAATTAATTAATTTGAGAAGTGCTACATATGAAGTACAAGTTTACAAATTAATTTTATTGAATTGAATTATTGAATTGATGTACACAATAATATAAAATAATTCAAGTATTTTTTATTTCAAATAAGAAGTACAATTGAGAATTAGGATGCATTTAAAAAATGTAATACATTTTGAAATAAAAAATCAATCGGAATCTCCGCCTTCGGTGGTTGTTTCCTCCATAAAGTGGCGGGTGGGAGCGATGGTCATTTCTTGAGTTCTTCGTTTGGCCTTCAACCAATCATGGAAGCAAACTAGCGTCTCAAGAGAGCTCGGGCTCAACCTCGTTCTATAATCGGTTAGGACATTGCCGGCCGCACTAAATTCTTGTTCCACGGCAACTGTTGATATCGGCATTGCTAGCACTTGATTAGCCATCTTTGATAAAACCGGGACCGTTCTTTCATTGTCCTTCCACCACTTAAGAACGTCAAAATCATCCCCAACTTCATAATCAACTTTCATTGTTAGATACAAAGAAAGCTCGTTAACTGAGCTTTGTTCAGTAGCGGGAGTTGCTCTACTTTTTTTCATAAGAGAACCAAATGCAGATTTTAAAAGTGATTTTCCTTTAGATGAAGAAGATGTTCGCGGCATGGGAGGGGGTGCATTACCATATTGTGCATAAAATTCATTATACAATTGATGAAATAAATTACTAACCTCGTTGTATTCTTGTTTAGGGTCGATGGGGTTATCATCGAACTCTTGAGTTGGAAAAAAACAATTATAATAGTAATCTATACAAGTTGGCAACGAGACAAGTTTATAACGAGGATCAAGAACAAATGCAATACCATATATATGCGGAACATGTGAATAATATTTTAAAAACTTTTGTTTCATGAAATCACAAAAATAACTAACGTAAGCGGCATCGGAAAATTCTAAAAAAGTGCCGGCGAGATTAACAGCTTCAACAAAAAATTCGTTTGCGGTAGGTTTATAAACATGACTAAAAGTTTGAGTTGCGTTATTAAAATATACCAAAACATTAACAATTTTTTCACAAGTGTCGATGTCAGCCGGGTTTATAATATAGTTACAAGTTTGCCTTAAAAAAGCAGGAAAATGATCTTTATATATAATAAGTACTTGAATTAAGTTATAAGTACTATTCCAACGAATAGACAAATCTTTAGGAAAAGCACAATAATTGACACGTCTTTCCTTCAAATATTGCCGCCATTGCATTTTTAGTGGAGTGTTAGCCCAAATCAATTTAATTCCCCCCTTCACTACCTCCAAAGCATGTCCTAATGCCGCTAATCCATCTTGTACACACAAATTTAGAATATGACATGCACAACGTTGATGAAAAAACCTACCCATCAATGTAGAAGCACCACACAATTCACGCAATCTAGGTATAGCAGCAGTATTATTACTAGCATTATCAAAACCTACAGCAAACACCTTATCAAGCAAATTATACTCAATTAAAATACGCTCAATGAGAATATAAATATTATCAGCAGTATGACGATCATTGAATTCACGAAAAGCAAGAACACGTTTATGCATATTCCAATCATCATCAATATAATGTGCAGTAAGACCCAAATAATATAAATGATGATAAGTATCCTCCCATATATCGCTACAAATACTAACACGTCCATTAAAGTTTGCGAAAAATGTTTGTAAATTTTCTTTTTCGAAGTTATATTGCCTTATAACTTCTTTTTTAATCGTTTTGCGACTATAATTTCTAAATTGAGGATTTAAAGTGCCTTGAGCATAATCTCTTAAAGCAAGACTTTCGGAAAAAATATAGGGTAAATTTTCTTCAACAATTAAATGAGACATACCAGTCAAATGTTTTTTATCATCATAGGAGAAATTACCAAAGGGTTGAGAATTTGCAAACCTCGATATTTGTGTTTGCTTCCCCTTGCCCTTGTCTATTTTCGCATACTCCACAAGATGGGCGGACTTAAGATGCCTTGTGAGACTCCCGTATCCGCCAGAAGTTCCCAAGCTATACTCTTTGCCGCAATGATTGCAACTTGCGTACCATTTTTCGGTATTTTTGTCTTTCCTTTTTGTAAAATTGTTTTCAATAATAGGAGATTTAGATTTCTTACCAGTTTGGGTTGAACCGCCCTCGTCCTCCAAGTCTTGCTCATCATCCGGGGTGCCGTGAGTCCCGTCGCCCCCCGCGTCCTCCTCCGCATCGTCATCCTCGAGCTCCTCTTCATCAATGGTTGTCGGGATGGGTTGTTCTTGTGCAAAGCGTGGATCGTTTTGGGACAATAGGTTTTGTAGATGCTCGTCGGACATCATCATATCATCTCTCCGTTGGTAATCCGTTTCAAAATCATCTCGACTTTGAAAAGAAGACTCGGCCCGCGCTTTACCTTTGCCTTTGCGTGAATTAGGACGAGTCGACGCAATCTCCCTCTTGCGGTTGCGTTGGAGATTACCCACATCTACAGAATGTCTACCACGTTCCATCTTTAAAATTGAACAAATATTAAATGATATCAAATATTTTATATGAGTACAATAGTAATAATAAAATGTGACTAAGAAAACTATTGCAAATTCGAACTAAAATATGAGTATAAAAATCGAACTACTTCTAATTAATACTTTAATGAGAAATGTATCAATTAACTAAATATTAACTAGTTTGACTAATATAAATATGAGAAATGTAAAAATTAACTAGTTTTTTTTTACTTTAATGAGCAATGTACAAATTAACTAATATTAATATGAGAAATGTAACAATTAGGTAGTTTAACTAATATTAATATGACAAATTTAACAATTAACTACTTTAGGTAGTTTTTAAAATGACAAATGTAAAAATTTACTAGTTATTTTTACCTTAATGAGAAATGTATACTTTAACTAATATTAATATGACAAATGTAAAAATGTACTACTTTTTTTACTTTAATGAGAAATGTAACAAGTAACTAATATTAATATGAAAAATGTACCAATTAAGTAGTTTAACTAATATTATTATGACAAATGTAAAACTTAACTAGTTTTTTATTTTTACTTTAATGAGCAATGTATGAAATAACTAATTTTAATATGACAAATGAAACAATTAAGTACTTTAACTAATTGAAATATGACAAATGTAAAAATATACTACTTTAACTATTTTTTTCTTTAAAGAGAAATGTAGAGAAATGTAGAGAAATGTAACAATTAACTAATTTAATAGATAAATTAGAAGTCTAACAATTAACTACTATTATAAGTAATATATAATATAATGTTTATAGTATATAATATATAAGTATATTACTATAAGATGAGTAATACACTTATACTTAATACTTTAATATATATATATATATATAAGTATATATTAACTAAATGTAATATGTAAATATAAGTAAATAACAATAGTATGTATAAAAACTAAATATCAAATAAATATGAATGTGTATAAGTATATATAGTATATGTAATGTGTAAATATATTATAAGTAATATATAATATAATGTTTATAGTATATAATATATAAGTATATTATTACTATAAGATGAGTAATACACTTATACTTAATACTTTAATATATATATATATATATATATATATATAAGTATATATTAACTAAATGTAATATGTAAATATAAGTAAATAACAATAGTATGGATAATAACTAAATATCATATGAATGTGTATAGTATATATACTTATATAGTATATATAATGTGTAAAGAATTATAATATGAATGTGTATAAATATATATTTATAAATAGATAATTAATATATAAGTAGATATAATAATTATATAAATTATATATATGTAGAAAGAATTTGGAGAAGATGAAGAATGAAGATGATTGAATATGAGAGATTTAGAGTAGAGAATTAGAGAGTAGGAAGAGTTGTAGAAGAAGAGGTGTAAAAAATGTAGAGAAAATAGGAGTTTAAATAGATTTTTTTTATACCCCACCCCCACCCCCACCCGATCCCCCACCCCACCCCCTAACCCCCCAGACCCCCCCCTCCTATGCTCCTAACGGCTATAGAGCCGTTTGGGAGCCTTCCCAACGGCTAGGAGCCTCTTCAAATTATTATTTTTTTTTTTAAAAAATTTGGCCGTTGGAGGCCTGAACCGGGACCGGCCCGGCTGGGCCGGTTCCCTAAAATGGAGGCCCGGGCCCGGACCGCTATACCACCGGGCCGGGTGGCCCGAACCGGTTAAGAACCGGGTGGCACGTCCGGATAGAATCTTCTAAATAAGGATTTATTTGACCCCTTTTATGCAACTTCGAAGACCAAAGTGACCCTTTACTCCAAAATGAACCACTAACCTTGATAAAAGAACGTTATTAAATATAATATTATGAAAAATAAAAGAAGAGGAAGAAATTGTAGGTAGCCATTGAAGTATCTCTCACTTTGGAAGTAGTTTTGCTAAAAAATACGATGTAACAAGTCAAAGATAAAGATAATCAGCTAACCAATAAAAACACTTTTAGTATTGGGAGAATTTGAGTTTGCACCTCATGTTTTAGGTGATATTTGAGTTTGCACCCTATTTTCAAAATAATTAATATATGTACCCCAATTCACCATAAAATCATTTGGCTTTGCACCCTACTCTTTCACAATTTTTGGGTTGACGAGGTGCATAATAATTTTAAAAATAGGATGCAAAGTCAAATATCACCCAAAACATGGAGTCCAAAGTCAAATTCTATCCCCCCTATGTCTCACATCAAAATAAGTTACTACACATAACTCATATTTATTCCTTGAATTATATTTAAGAGTTCGTTTTTTAATGTTTGGTAATGTTTATGCTTATGGTCTGCTTAACACTCAACTTATTAAACTTGTATAAGTTTTAATTATTTGCACGAATTTGTACGGAGTATGTATTTTTTCTTCAATTGGTATGTTATGTTACTCCGTATTTTATTTATATGAATTAATTTTATGAATTAAATGAAAGGGAAAGTTCATATACTCCTAACTCCCTATTAAAAAGGTATAAATTGAACACATGCCGACATACCAGTAACTGTCGCCGGTGGGGTCGGGGAGACAGAACTGGAACTGGCGTATATATTTCTATTTAAAAAAAGAAAAAAAAAATTAAGGTGGGAAAATGAGCCAGATTAACCAATTTAACAATCATCACGAGGAGAAGTCCTGCAAGTTCTAGCTTTCACTAACCCCTAATTATCTACGAGTAGAAGTCCTTCCATCATCTTCTTCACTTCCCTCATGTTTTTGTCAATCTGAAACTTTTCTGCTCTGAGAAGTGAGAATTCAACTATAATATTCGACTATATATCTATATGACTATATGCATATATTCATTCCTCTGTTTCATGTAAGTTTTCTGCTGCAAACCCTTTAACATCCATTGCCTGGTGTCTGTCAGTTTAAAATTTTAAATTATCTTCTTCTATATGAAAACCCCTGCTCCCTTCTTCAGCCGGACTTAATGTACATTAATATACTCCTATTTATAGTGATTACTTTATTTATTGATTAAATTTGCAATTTTCTGCAAAATTTGGTGTTGAAAACATGAAACCAAGCCCGCCAAATCACCAATTGTTTTTAGGCGAGACTTGTTGTGGGCAATGCCTATTTTTGCATTTCCTGCCTATCTAAGTCTGTTCTGTGATGAAAGAATATATGGTTTCACATATATGTCTGTCATGGTTTGTTATGGACTTGTGGTAGTTTCTTATATACACTAATGTCAAATTACCCCCCGGTGCAGGTAATTCAGGATTGTATTGTTTTTTCACGCTTTAACTATTAACAATGGAAAGTTCCGAGATTGAAGAACATCTATCCTCAATTGGTGAGCCAAAGGTATGCATATTGCTGTTTAAATCTGCTTGTGACCTTCTAGCATTTGCTCTAAAAACCATGGGTTAATGAGTTCAGTTTCATCCGGATTTGTTGTAATGTAGGCTGGATATTGTATAGACGACAGTTTTTCAGAGTTTAAATGGTTATTATACGTTTTATTATAGAAATCATTGCTGGATATTGTATAGACGATAGTTTTTCAGAGTTTAAATGCTTATTATACGTTCTAGAATAGAACTCATTGCGGGATATGATGTAATTGATTTTATTCCAATGAGGCAGTTCCTCTTTTGCTTTTTTAGAAATGAAAAATAAATTCAAACTCAATCAATCGATTTCTTTTATTTGTTCAAATTCATGCTTTTATTCAGTTCTATTATGTAAAGAGCAATAAATCTAAATATATGTGATGTTTTAGGGAACTTTAATCGTATGTTAATTCCCTTAACATTTCTAAGGTAAAACCGAACATTAAAGAGAACTTTAGCTATTGTGTGTTCTTTCCCTACGTCCCTAACATTATCAAGGTTTTCAACAACCTTAGTATTTTCCCAAGAAGTCGTGATACCGAGTGTGATTCCTTAGTTGTCTGTTTCTATGAATTCCTTAATTTTTTGACTGATGAGTTTGTGATGCATATGTGGTTACCGCCTACCGGTGCAGTTACATGGAGGAATGTGCAAGAGCCTATTTGTGGTATATGCAAGAGTGTTAGGTATATTTCCAGAACTTGAAGCAGCGCGGCCTAGAAGCACTACAGGTATTCAGGCTTTATGTGCTTTGCACATAGCACTTGAGAAGATTAAGAATATCCTTCAACATTGCGCTGAATGCAGTAAACTTTACCTGGTAAGTGTTTTTCTGCAATCTGCATTGCTTCTGCAAACCTATGATCTTCAATGATTTGATAATTTTGGTTGCTGCTTCTCCGGTATTCGTTAATGATAGAGTTCAATCCGACCGGGATAAATCAATTGGGACATAGGACACTATGACAAAACTACACTAAATGATTGATTTCAATCCATTAGCTAGTTCAACCTGAGGTCATATTAACCCAACACTCTCTTTATTGTTTTGTCATAAAACTGTAATGGTTAACGATGATTGCGACTGTTTTCATTGTTTCAAGTATGTGTTGCATTTCCAAAAAAGCTAATTTTGGCCTGACTATTATTTCAAGGAAGACATTTCCCTCTCTATTTGACCTGCTTATTGGTAGTTGATATAATTGATCTGACCAGGCAATAACTGGGGACTCTGTTGTCCTTAAATTTGAGAGAGCCAGGTGTGGACTTGAAGACAGTCTAAATCGAGTTGAAGATATTGTTCCGCAAGCCATTGGTTGTCAGGTAGTTTTTTTTCTCTCCGTTCGGATTTTCTTTACTGTTCTAACTTTTGGAGAGTTTTTAGCTGGGTGGAGCTAAAGTTACCTTGCGACAATATATGGTTTGGTCTTGGAGATTTTTCCTATAACATTGTTAAAATAGAACTCATGGAATATAACTATATATTTAATGTGAAAATACCACTATAGTCATTGTAATGTAAAATAGAGCATCATTATCATCACTACTGTCACTGCGCTTTAAAGTAGTAGCTCTGCAGTGTAAAATACCACCAATGTCACTCCAGCGCATTAAAAGTTAAGACTCACATTCTTGTCTATGTTTTCCATTTTCTTCGTATATTTGTCAATATTTCTGGTTTTTCCAATCACTTTGTGCACCTTGTTTTTGGCTTTGTATTATTCACGCTCATTAGTTGCCAGATTGGTTCTCATTCTGTGATAGTAATTGGGATAAAATCTGGTTTTCAGATATCAGATATTTTATATGAACTCCGCGGGGTCGTCTTCACACTTGATCCAAATGAAAAACAAGTGGGTGATGAGATAATTGCTCTTCTTCAACAAGGGGGGAAGTTTGATAGCAACGGGAATGACAACAATGAACTCGAGTCTTTTTATCTGGCTGCTTCTAAACTTGGTATCACCTCATCAAGAGCAGCCCTCAGAGAAAGAAGAGCTTTGAAAAAGCTCATAGAAAGGGCACAGGGTGAAGAAGATAAGAGAAAAGAGTCCATTGTTGCATACCTATTGCTTCTAATGAAAAAGTATTCAAAGTCATTTAGAAGTGAACTATCTGATGGAAATGATTCACAGGGGTCAACACCATGTTCTCCAACTGTTCAAGGATCTCTTGAAGGACATGTACACGCCTTCGATGTGCGATTTTCAAAGCTAAGTTCTTTCAATTTTAAACCTATGAAAGTAGACCAGATGAATGTCATCCCCCCTGAGGAGTTGAAGTGCCCAATCTCATTACAGCTCATGTATGACCCAGTGATCATTGCATCTGGACAAACGTATGAAAGAATTTGTATTGAGAAGTGGTTTAATGATGGGCACAATACATGCCCAAAAACTCAGCAGGAGCTTCCTCATCTTGATTTGACTCCTAATTACTGTGTGAAAGGCCTGGTTTCTAGTTGGTGTGAACAGAATATGGTTCATGCTCCAGATGGCCCACCAGAGTCTCTTGATCTTAACTATTGGAGGCTCGCGTTGTCTGAAAGCGAATTTGAGAATTCCAAATCAGTTGAAAGTGTGACTGGATGTTGCAAGTTCAAGAGTGTTAAGGTGGCACCTTTGGAGGAAAGTGGTACTATGGAGGAGGCTGAGATTGACAACTCTGAACAGGATGATGAATTCCTCAGATATGGGGATTTTTTGACTGTTCTATACCGCGACGATAATCTCAGGGAAAAATGTGAAGTGGTAGAACAGATGCGGCATTTGCTAAAGGATGATGCAGAAATCAGGATTTATATGGGGGCAAATGGCTATATTGAAGCTTTGCTGCAGTTCTTGGAGTCTGCTGTTGAAGCTAAGAATGAGATGGCTCAAGAAATTGGTGCTATGGCTCTCTTCAACCTTGGTGTAAATAATGACAGGTACTATCTTTCAATAGGTTGTAATAAGTGTGTAATAAATCTCACCCAGGAGCAAAGTCAAAGTTAATTAAAAACACGGGGTGCAAACTGCAAAGTCAAATATTGGGGGAAACTGGAAACAGGTGGTGCAAATACGGAATTTCTTTTCTTAGCCATGAAATTCAATCAAATATTATACGGAGTATGGAATTTATTACTCCCACGTTATTTATATAGTAGTAACATTTATCTTTTCACGGAGTTTAAGATTAAAATAGTAGGTGTAGTGAACAGTGTAGAAAAATGTAAAAAGTAGGAGAGGGATAAGAAAAAATTTGAAAGGGAAGATGAAAAAGTAAATTAAGTATTTTTAGATGAAAAGCTTACGAAAAAGTGAACGTGGTAGAAGTATTTAAATATTTCCAAAAAGGGAATATGTTGCAACTATTAAGTATGGAGGGAGTTTTACCTTTTTTCGCTTCTTTTTTCAGAAACATTGAAATGATGCTAGCTGGGGGAGTACTTCAATTGCTGGGGAAAATGATGACTAACTTAAGCTGCTGTGGAGCAGTCACTGCACTTTACGTGAACCTTTCCTCCCTTGAAGAAGCCAAGTCTGTGATTGGAGCCAGTGAAGCTACACCCTTCTTGCTGCAGGTCCTTCAACAACATGATTCTGATATCCGGTGCAAATTGGATGCTCTCCATGCCATTTTCAACCTCTCCAACCAACCAAGTAATGTAACACATCTCCTGTCAGCCGGGATCCTTGATTGTCTTCTAGCCTCGATGGCGTATTCCGATGACCATAGTTGGACAGAAAAATGCATTGCTATTCTGATAAACTTGGCGTCCAGTAGTAAAGCTGTAAAAGACCAAATGACATCAGCTCCTGGCCTTATCAGTAGGCTAGGATCTATTCTGGAAGTAGGTGGTGCAGTTGAACAGGAGCAAGCTGCTGCATGTCTTTTGATATTGTGCACTGGAAGTGAGAAATGCAGTGAGATGGCGCTTCAAGAAGGAGTGATACCTTATTTGGTGTCAATATCAGTTAACGGGACAGTTAGAGGGAAACAAAAAGCTCAGAAGCTATTGACGTTGTTTCGGGAGCAGCGACAGAAGGAGCAGCCGTCAACCATTGTTAAATTTAGTAGGCTACAGCCTCAGCTTAGTAGTGATTTGGATATCTGCACTGAAAATCCGAAGCCGTTGTCGAAGTCAGTTTCATCAAGAAGAAAGTTGGAGAAGGCATGGTCTTTCTTTCGAAAGAACAAGAGTATTTCGGCGTATCAATGATATAATCTTCTTACTAGTATGTCAATCTGTTCTTTTCTCCTTATATATACCGGAATAACCGGAGTATATATATTCTGTCCTAATGGGCATTAGGTTGTCAGCGTTAGAACTTTTTACAAGGGTGTATTTACCATGGTTTATTTTTATTACAAAACAAAAACAGAGAGGCAGCATATCTTGGTAAACTTGAAGTGAACTTTCTGGCTATGGAAGTTCGATGCATAAATCCAAAATCCATGGGAGTATATGACATGTGGAAGTGAGTGTCCATTTTCATAGTCTAAGGAGTGCTCGGTTTTTAATCTTACCAAAATATAAATCAGCAAACCAGATAGAGAAATACAGGATTTTTAGTTATTTTAATGATCATAGTAGAAAAGTTTGTTGATAAAGTTGGTGGTGTTTAGAAATAAAAGTGATGTAAAAAGTAACATTTGCTGTATTATTTGGGTGAAATATTACAAAAGAAAAAAACTGTTTTAAACACCCTTTTGTTTTTAGCTTTTAATTTTAAAATGCTCAAATTTAAGCAGAAATCTGATAGGAACCGGACAATTTACTGTGTATTAATTCAGGAAATAGTAGTCTTGAAGCTATTACAATGGCAGTCTATATTACGACTATCAAGAGAAGAAGAAGAACAACAACATCCAAGCCTTAGTTCCAAAAGATATTGAGGTCGACTAACCTGAATCGATACATGATAACACCACCAAAAGGAAAAGAAAGAAAATAATGTTTATATATATATAAGGATAAAAGAATAAAAAGAAGAAGAAAAAAGATGAGGGGAAATAATAATAATACGAGATCACTCCTCTACACGAATAACCGCCCTCCACTTTGCTCTCTCCAAAGTCATACTCTCATCCAACCCAAGAAGAAGCATATCACTTCAGACTGCCCTAACATGACATGAATCGAAATATCAAGAGAAGAACGCAAAAGAGAAAAAGAACAATAGTGACACTTCGAGTAGTCTCAACACTCCCAAGTCCCAGTCCTCTGCCTACCTCTATTTCCCCCCTTCCTACTCTTATTATACTCATCTCCTAAATGGGCCAGCCTCAGTTAGTAAGCTACTTATCTTTCCCCCTGCCTAGAACCCACTTATTGTACAATATCCAATACATAATATTATTCTTAAAACTAGTATTGTCTAGGTCCCTATCAAAATCCCTACTTATAAACTCCATTTTTAGCCTATTATAGCATACTGGACAAAAATCCTTCCAAAAAGCAATGAAAATCATTCAGAGTTAGGTTACCAAAACCCACAGCTAAGACTCAGTTACTTCCAAATTGAACCCGAGATGGTAGAATATTTGCATTCATGAATGACTAGCCATTTGGGTAGTGCAGTGGTTGCCAATCAGGCCTCCACATTTTGGCATGACTTTTTATTGGATTTATTTGGGTAAGCTCACCGCCTGCCATTTAAGGCCTGCCTTCATTGTAGTTCTAGTTTGAAGGTTTATATTTGAAATTAAGCCTTTCTTATCTCGTTGGAGAGATTGAATTAAGTTGAATGGTGAATGAGAACCTTGTTACTTTTTAGTTTTTATTTCAAGAGACTTAAAATGAAGGAAGGAGCTTGAGTTGGCGAACTTATATTCTGCAGCTATTAATCCAAACAATATTCTCAGGAATAGAATTGTCTTGAGAGAAATTCTATTCTAGGATTACATGGCAACAAATCAAACATACGTAGTATTAAAATCAAGCTAAATGCTAATCATGACTACGATTTCCCTTCCTTCTGTTCTTATTCCTCATCTTCCTCAACCTCCTCATTGCTCTATGTTCAACTACTGTATCGGTCCGATTAGTGGTAACAATATCTCCTCCCACCTTCAACTCATCACATGCACCTTTTTTCTTTTGAAAAAGCTTAATGAGTCCTTCAAGGGCAACATCTGCCTTATCACTCTTCATCAGCTCTTCTGCAATCTCAGCAGGTGTCACATTCACCTCCGTTAAGAGTTTGTCGATATCCGTGAACTTGGGGTGATCTTTCAGGCCATGGTAGTTCGATGCAAGAACCCGAAATCCACCTGGGGTGCAATATGACATGAGGATATGCATGTCCATTCTTCCCGGTCTAAGTAGTGCTGGGTCTAACCTGTCCTTGTAGTTGGTCGTCAACACAATGATCCTTTCATCCCCACAAGACGACCATAATCCATCAATGAAGTTCAGTATACCAGATAGCGTTACCTATTCATTACCAACAACAATAATAGAAACATTACTGATGAAAAGTCTCAATAATCGGCCTATTCAATTAGGAAGTACTTTCTTTGGTCCCATGACTTTTAATAATACATTTTTATTTTGGTTTCCAACTTTGGGTGCATCAATGCATGACTGTAATTTTCTGATCGGTTATGCAGTGAAAAATCAACCGAAGTTTGCATAGTGAAATTGGATGGACAAGTGATCGCAAGGGACCAAAATTGTCAAAAGTCTATAATTAGGCACCAACAGTGTAAAATGAAAACCATTGAGCAGGAGCTAAATATCTTAAATTAGTTAATCCATGTAAATATAACATTTTTTTAAGATTCTTGAGAAACTTGTTATGGTTTTTTCATTTTACAAATTTTGATATTTCCCTTTTAGTGTATCTCTAGATTTTGAACAATTACCCTCCATAGTATAAAATTTTACAAACAACGGAGTATAAGCGAAGCTAAATTTAAGGCAACTAATCACTCACATTTATAATTGGGAAATTTTCCAGAGTAAAAAAAAATGTTTTGACAAGTTGTAATACGGAGTACCATGTTTCTCTAAACAAGAGTAGATACCGTTTCTCTTAATTGTAGGATGACATTACTTACTCCAGCTCATAAAACACAACACAACACTCTAATTTATTAAAATCACCGTCTTTACTCATTTTTCAGGTAATTACTTTTTTTAATACAAGTATTCTAAATTTATTATTATTACCTATATTTTTTGCCTACATTCCTGAAAAGTTAAATGTAACACCCAATATTGCATGACAAGCATGAATATTGACAAAAAGTTAAATGTAACAACAAATTTACTCCTACCCTTACTCCTTCATATACCCGTGTGTATATGTCTCAATGATTTAATGAAATACTTGTACTTCCCCGTTCCTTAAAACACGATTAAATTGATCGGCATGAGAATTAAGAAAGTAAATAGTGTGTAATAAATGTTTGTGCGCATCCAGGGACGGAGCCAGAACGCAGTCATAAGGGGGGCCAAGAAGAAACACAAACACTAAAGAAAAAAATCTCTAAATAGGACAAAAAAAGTTTATAAACAGGATTATCATTGTTTTAATCACAAAATAGGACTTATTGACTCCTATTTTGGCAAACTTTAATCAAATAATTTTCAATAGAACTAAATAAGATCTATTCGAGGAGTAAAACATAGTTTTTCATATTATTTTTAATGAGGAATGATCCTTTCAGAATTACATGACGGGATCCACCATCCGGATGTCTGTGTTTGATGTGTTTCCGGATGGATTTTTTGGGTGAAATTTTATGACAATATTCTTCATGATGTGTAGATTATTTACACATAATTTCAATTTAAAATTCAATTGACAAATCAGTTAAATAAATTATTGAAAAACACAGTACCAAAAAATATAAAAAAAAAACTCAGTGTTTTTCCATGATTTATTTAATTGACTCTCCAATTGCATGTAAGCTGAAATACACAAAAATTTATCAAAAAATTCTACCCGAAAGCATCTCACATAAAATCTTCTATCGAGTAGTTTTGACCCAATCTTTATTGATTATTTCATTTATAATAGTAGTAGTACTAAAAAATAAAAAAGTTGGGAGGGGCCATACAAAAGGAGACTGAAATCTATGTAATCAGAACCGGACTGGACCGGGCGGGTCGACCAGGAAACTGGCGACCCGGCACCTGAACCGGTCCGGTGGACATAAACCCGTAAATTGAGGTAAAACCGGAAAAACCCACTGGCCCGTTCTGACCCGGGCCGGACCCGCGACGGCCCAAACCCGGGAAAACCGGGAATTCCTCCAAGAACCTAGGACTCTAGGAGTGGGAATAGGAAATGCAGCCGTGTTTCCACTTCATCACCTATGCCATTTGGGATTATATGCTCTTTTAAGCGGCTTATTTCTTTAGCATACATATTAAAACTAGTCTTTAACCCGTGCGTTGCACGGGGTATCAAACTAAAAAAATCTTTTGTAATGTCATTTATTATATTCAAATGCTTTCGAACAATGTATTCCAAATACTCTAAAACTAATATGAGCCTATAAACATATAGTAGATTTTTTAATTAACATATAGTAGATATTAACATCCAAAGTAAGAACCTTTTCAACTTTAAGTTAAAAAACGGTAGTCATAGCATATACATAACCATAGGTAAGTCACTGTTCTTCGTCCACATCATTTATTAAACTCTATATATGCAATAATAGTGTCACATGAAATATCATAAAAATTTTGAATTTTGATATATTTTTTATAAGTTGGAGCACAAATAAAAAGTTTTAATACATTTAAAATTGGTTTTTTTAATTTACACAGTTATTGTATACATAAAGTATAAGTTCAACCCCAATGATCTTCCAAAAAACAATTTGGATGGGCCGTGGGCCTGTGGCCTTCAAAGTTTTACTACCTCCGTCCCTCTAAGATTGGGACGAGAAAAGGTGACACGAATATTAAGAAAATTGAGTTTGTGTTGTTGATATTAAATTGATAAAGTAAAAATAAAGTAAGAATGATTTAGAGCCACACAATCTTTACCAAATTTGATATGAGACAATCTTAGTGGAACTTCCCGAAAAGGTAAAATGGGACAATCTTAGCGGGACAGAGGGAGTAATACATTGAGTTGAACTGTTCGTTAAACTCACAAAAAATGCTAAAAGGGGAGTTGGATTATATGAAGAAAATTTAAAAGTAATCAAATGAAGATTGTACTTTACTATAGAATGATGGATATATTAGACTCGGGAAAATGCAAATCAAATTGGTTGAATTTTAGCAAGGAAAAATATATAACTACTTAAATACGATGCACATGATTATTTCCTAACATGTCAAACCTAAAGAGATGAAGAGCTGCTAGAAGGAAGTCAACATCAGACAATTCAGAAGTTATGCCACCAACCCAATCAAATACAACATGTGCATAAAAAAACCAAGCCCATATAGATTTGCGGAGATAGTGGCTAAGTTTAACATAAATAGAACAATGGCAGTGGGTTTTGAGTTGAAACGGTTGAAGTGAAACTGATATAGGATGCAAATGACCATTAAAAAACTTATACACATGATAGACTAATAGAGCATGTTTTGTAGACTTAGACAAATTAACAGAGTAGTTAACACAGCTTGTACTTCAAACTTGCTTGTGCTTGTACTTAGGGAGTGTTTGCGATTGGTTGTGCTTTTTAAAAGTTATTTTTTAAGAGATTATTGGAAAAGTAATTTATAGTAAAAGTAGATAGTGTTTGGGAATAGAAGTAATTTTTATTAAAAGGTAAAAGTTGGAGTATTTGAGGGAAAAGTGATTTTGAATGGAGTATTTTGTTAAAGTTCAAAAATGCCCCTTAAAAACTCCATTCTGAAATGCCCACCAGCCCCTTATGGCTTTAAAAACTCCATACTGAAATGCCCACTAGCCCATTAGACCCTATCTTCGCTTTTCACAACCCTTAGATCACTCGAGCTACGCTTTTCTCACATATTCCCCAACACGCCGGCGGCTCCTTTGGACTTCTCAATCAGACAATATTCCTGTGTTTCTGCCTTCTAATACCTCTAACCCTGTTAGTTTAAAAAAACTTGTAGCCCTCTTCAATTTCGAATCAAATAGTGGAGCTCTCTGTCGAAATCTGTGCACTTCTGTCCACCAGAGACCGCACCTTCATCACCCACAGCACCGTTGGGAAAAAAGGGCATCTTTATTTGGATGTTGGAGCACCTTCTGGTTAGGGTTGTAAACGAATCGAATAATTTTGATCCGATTCGTGATTTGAATTCAAAATTGATGATTCGAATTCGAAAAAATCGAATATGAATCCGAATACGAATCGGTTTTAGTATTCGCATAAAATTCGAATACGAATACGAATATACATGTATTCGATTGGTGCATTCATTAATATATTTTTTGAAGTAATTGATTCTTTGACTAATTTATTTATTTTAATGAGCTTCCGCTTGATTTTTCAAGTAGCTGATTTTTTTAAATAGTTCGTTTAAAAGACAACTTTGTGAAAACCAAAAAAACACACAATACATCATAATTTGAATATGTGAATTTTTTTACACAACAAATATTCGAATTCGAATTCGAATTTTCGAATACAAATATATTCGAATATCATTAACGAATCGAATACGAATCTATTTTAAGATTCGAATAATATCCGAATACGAATACGAATATTCGTCAAGTTATACGAATACGAATAATTTTACTCACTATTCAATTTGATTCATTTACAACCCTACTTCTAGGTCTGGACTTGGGCCGGGCGGCCCGACCCGGAACCGGCCCGGTCACTGTTTGAACCGGACCGAACCGGCGGCCCGGACCAGGGGTGGTTCGGGTCGACCCGGACTGGTGGAGTTCGGGCTCAGACCCTCCATTTGCTGAACCAGCCCGGCCGGTTCGGGCCCGGGCCGGGCCAGATTTATTTATTTTTTTGAAAATAAATTATTGAAAAACACAGTACCAAAAAATATAAAAAAAAACTCAGTGTTTTTCCATGATTTATTTAATTGACTCTCCAATTGCATGTAAGCTGAAATACACAAAAATTCATCAAAAAATTCTACCCGAAAGCATCTCACATAAAATCTTCTATCGAGTAGTTTTGACCCAATCTTTATTGATTATTTCATTTATAATAGTAGTAGTACTAAAAAATAAAAAAGTTGGGAGGGGCCATACAAAAGGAGACTGAAACCTATGTAATCAGAACCGGACTGGACCGGGCGGGTCGACCAGGAAACTGGCGACCCGGCACCTGAACCGGTCCGGTGGACATAAACCCGTAAATTGAGGTAAAACCGGAAAAACCCACTGGCCCGTTCTGACCCGGGCCGGACCCGCGACGGCCCAAACCCGGGAAAACCGGGAATTCCTCCAAGAACCTAGGACTCTAGGAGTGGGAATAGGAAATGCAGCCGTGTTTCCACTTCATCACCTATGCCATTTGGGATTATATGCTCTTTTAAGCGGCTTATTTCTTTAGCATACATATTAAAATTGAAGCATTCAGCAAGGATCTAAAATAACAAGAGTATCACCGATAACCATCCACCCTTGAGCCAGACTTTGAGTTAACCACCTTTAATAAAGCAGTATAACTCGCTGATCCTAAACTGGGCATAATTGAGTCAACAATGGTTACTGCAGAACTCTCATCACTCAGGTCTAATGCAAGAGTCTTACAAAACCAACCAAAAATAAAAACCAAAAATACTAGTCTGAACATGAAACAAACTATAAAAAGCAATAATAAAATAAGCACCACCGTGGAACTTCTGCACCCTCAGCTGCACAAACACATCAGGCGGGCCTAGGAACAGCATACGTATGAGTATTAATTAATTCACACTTTATAATAATAGATATTGTAGTTATTATTTGAATATATAAAATTTCAAATATAAGTAAAAATACTTATATAATACGCCTAGTATTTTCAAGTAAAAATAAGTGTAATTATGTTCATGCAGTATTGTTTTTGAAAAAGTATACGGAGCAATATATTTCAAATATCAAATAATTTAGAATATTAAATAATTATGAAAAAGTTATGTAATTTTTTATACATGTACTTAAACATATCAAATAACATTATTGATATAGTTAGTATTTTCAGTGCTTACTGTAATTATAGTTAATTGATTATTGGATACCCATTTTTTAAAATTTTATATATTATTAAATATTTAATAATATACTAAATTATAAAAGTTGACCTGATTTTCCCGGCGTTGACCGGGTTGAACCGCCGGGTCCGGGCTGACCCGTGACCCGATCATTCGTCCGGGTCGCTTCCCGGTCCGATTCTTGTAACATAGACTGGAACTATAAATTGTAGTTAAAAGGAAAAGTGATAAAATTAGGGGGGAAATAAAAAGAAAAGTTAGAAGGGAGAGATAACAATTTAGAGTATTTTGAAAATGCAAGATAAAAATTATGTTACTCGTGTGATTCATGTTCGTCCCAATCCATTGGAGAAACAAAAAAGATAAATCGGCAAAGTTAAGGTAGGAGTATTTGTATGGGAGATTTACCTAAATGAGACTAAATACATCTTTTATTGTCAAACTAGGACTAAACTTTAAAAATTCCCTAAATAAGAGTTATTATTTGTATCTGGACAAAAATAACCCTGAAACTTGGAGAGCATACTGCCCCTGACAGAACCCAAGCCGCACACAGTCGCAGGTCGTCGCCAGTTTCCGGACGTCGTCCGCCGCCGCCGCCTCAGAACTGGACGCCGCCGCTACAGATCTTGGCGCTGTCGATATATACAAATCTAGCCGTTGCCGGGGACAGATCTAGCCGTTGCCGTCGTAGATCTGACCAGATCTGGCCGCCGACCTTGCAAATCTGACTGCCGCCGTTAGATGTCCTGCCGCCACTACTGCAGATCTGGCTAACCTCACCGCTAATGCCCACAAAATTTTTAGAATGCCAAAAAAGTTTAAGAATGCCATTTTAATGGCATTTTCGAAAGAAATTATGAAAAATTTTGATGTTGAAGAATGCCATTTTGTTGGCATTTTCAGGTAAAATTTGGCAATTTGAACCACCAAAGAAGAAATAGAGCATACATGCGATGAAACATAAGAGGGGAAGAGAGAAACACATAAGAGGAGGAAGGAGGGAAGATACTCCGACTTTTAGATTTCGACTTGCTACTCACTCCCCCTTGCTTGGATCTGCCCACCTCTGTTGTTCGCTACTGCTCGCCGGGAAACTCACTATTGCAGCCTGCAGGTTCTCAATCGATCGGAGAAGATGAGCGGAGAAATAAACACATCTAGCTACCTAAGATATGAGCAAATTGGAGAAGAGTAGTTGGTGTGGGAGAAGAAATTTGGAATGAAGAGGAATAGATTTGCAGAAAACTGAAGCTCATTTGGGGAGAAGAGATATTGATGTCTGGAGAATGGAAGTAGATATGCGGAGGTAGAGCCGTAGAGGGGAAGCTGATTCGCGTAGAAGAGGTAGCCGATTCGCGTAGGGGAGGGTAAAATTGGAATAATAATCTCATTTAGGGAATAAAATTATAGCTACTCCTATTTGAGAATTTCAGCAACAATTTAGTCCTATTTAGGGCAATAACTCTATTTGTATTTCAGTATTTTCTTAAAAACTTATAACCAACCTGAGGATAACTTGGATCATTACTCTGCTTGCCGTGATCTCCATTATTTCTGTTCTGCAAATCAATGCTGCAATCAATATCCTCAACCACAAGGATGGATTTGTTTTTAGTAGTGGGAAGCAGCTCCTGGAGATCCGAGTTGCTCCGTAAGCAAGACAGATCCAGTTCATAGATGCTGAATTTCAGATAATTGGCCATGGCTGCTATCAGACTCGACTTCCCCGTTCCCGGAGGCCCATACAATAAGTACCCTCTCTTCCACGCCTTCCCAACTCTCCGGTAATAATCTCTCCGGCTAACAAATCTGTCCAAATCTTCTATGATTTCCTTCTTCAGTTCAGGATCCATCGCTAGGGTCTCAAAAGTGGACGGATGCTCCAGATTAACCTCATCTGTATAGTTTCCTAACGCCATCAGCTTCACGCATTTGTTTTCTTCTTTTATGGCCTTCGATCTTTCCAGAACGAACGGTATATATTTGCTGATAACAATTTCACTGAATTTCTTGTTGAAGGAGAGTTCGAACGATTTCCGTTCCGTACTGCTCTCGGAAGAAGAAAAGCGATCAAACTCGGATTTCTGAGAAGTACTGGCAGTGACTTTCAATTCCCAGATCAATTCCACGCCGCCAAACGTGTCCGCGATTTTCTCATCTCTGCTGATGATGAATGTGATGCTTTTGTCCCTGGACGCCTTGGAGATTTTGAGCCTGCCAGCTGCAGGGTTCAGCTTTGTTCTGAGATAGATTCCAGCGGCCTCGAAGATTTCATTTCGGATAAGGCCGTTCTGTTCATCAATGACGAGAGTTGTTTTGGAGGAGAAGTTGCAGATTAGGCCTCCCAGTTTTAAAGAGAGCTTTTCCAGGAGGTCTCCAGGCAAGAACTGGTTGGCCAATGCTTTGAGCTCAGTAAGAACTGTCCTGACTAGGAAAGCTGAAGTGGTGAAGGCAGTGTATGTTGATAGAATGGAAGATGTTGAGGGAACATCAGAAAGGGAAATCATCTTCAAGTTTTTCTTCTCAGATCTTTTTTACAATAAGGTTTTTCTAAAACATTCCGAGTCTCTGATGAATGTTTATAATTTGACCGACATTTTAGGAAGAAAACCAATTTTTACACAAACAAAAAAAATTGTCTGTATCACAAATATTTATAAAAAATTCTCGGCTAAAATGTCTGTGACACGAACGATTCTTTATAAAACGTCGATCAAATTGTTCGTGTAACTGATCAAATTCTGGTCACAAACATTTAACCGAAGTGTAACCAGACACGTATACCAAGCAGGACTCATTGAGTTCCACTTGCCACTGCTGCTATTTGCTGTCAGCACAGCAACTCATTGTGGACGTGTACCATACTTTTTGGTCACTTTTGGGTTCAGATGTTCTACGGAGCTTTTTGTCGTCCCACAGTCAAATATCTTCAGTCATAAGTCATAACATCAAAAAATTTAACATCTCTAAAAAAAATTCTCTTCGTCTCTAAGTTATCTTCCAAAAGTATATTCGGTATGAGGATTAATATAATAAGTAGTCCCTCCTTTCCAATTTGATGATCTCGTATTTCCTTTCTGGACCGTCCTAAATTGATAGTCTCATTTCCCTCTTTAGAAAGAAATATGTGATCCACATCATTTCATATTTTCTACTCAAATCTCAACCACAACTTTTACCGTTTCAACCACTTCCTTAATCTTTGAGCCCCAAAAAAATGAGATCATCAAATTGGGACGGAGGGAGTACGTAGTATTATATGGCGGAGAGATGCAAAAAAGGAAAAAGAAATGTGTGAAAATGTGTAACAAATACTGTAAAAAAAAATCTTTATTAAAAAGGAAAAATGAAGATTATTTTGGGACGGATGATAAAGGAAATTGAAAGATAATTTAGCGATGGATGGAATATTTTTTATTTTAAAAGCGATAAGTATATGATTCGTACAAGTATTACTTTTTCACTTCTCTATACAAAATTCAACCATACAATTCTTATTTTATTATTTTATGTGTAAGTCAAAGTTGGCCAACGTTTATGCGACGGAGGGAGTGTTATTGTTTAGTAAGAGCCCGTTTGGTAAGAATAAAATTGTTTGGATCAACTAAATCTATTGAAATTTATGAAACTGTGGTTGAATTGGTTGAATGTACCGAACTATGAAAAATTATATTCAAAATATATTTTATTAATAAAATTAAATATAATTTCATGAAAATAGCTAAAATTTTGCTCTATGGTAACATAAGTCAATTTAGAAAAGTGATTCTAACCTTACTTATTTTGATTATTACATAATTCAACACACACTCAAAAATTTTGTTTTGATAAAAAAGTTGGCTGATAAGCTGAAAGTATAAGTTACCAAACGAGATCTAACATTAAGAGCGTGTTTAGTAAAACCAGAATTGACTTATTCGGGTGAAATTCTTAAATGTCTAACTGCATTGAGTGAATATGCTGAGTTGTGAAAAAATACATTTAAAGTATATTTTATTAATAAAATAAAGAAAAAATATACTCTTTCTGTCCCTTTTTAATTAGCAATATTTGATTTTTCTAGTCAGTGATGATAAACTTTGATTGATAATACATTTATATATGTAATTTTTTATAATATGAAAATGATATGATTTTTTTTGTTAAAAATGTTGGAGAAATTCGGCCGGATAAACCTGCAAAAAAGCGTTTGAAAATGACATAGCTCAAGTCGCGTAAACGCTGTCCTCAAGAAAGTATTTCCGACTAGCGAAAACCTTTCCCCAAGATAAAACGAGCTCTTCGACGTAGGCCGGTACCAGAACAACGAGAGTTAAATAAAATTTAATCCAACAGAAATATAATATGTGGGGGGTTTGAATTCATAGCAAATCAACAAATTAAAGTAGCTTAGCATATATATATATATATATATATATATATATATATATATATATATATATATATATATGGGATAGTTCAGGTGAGAATGATGTCCCAGGAGAGAAATAAGAATGAAATCTGACCTTCCATTCTCTCGATCTAATGGCTTGGATTCTTTTGAATTATAGGTCATATTTTCGGATATTTGAAGTTATAAATAAGGCAACATTCAACTTGATATTAATTAAAGGGCACAATGGTAAAACCAAACCATGACTTATCATTATATATATGGGACAGTTCAGGTGAGAATGATGTCCCAGGAGAGAAATAAGAATGAAATCTGACCTTCCATTCTCTCGATCTAATGGTTTGGATTCTTTTGAATTATAGGTCATATTTTCGGATATTTGGAGTTATAAATAAGACAACATTCAACTTGATATTAATTAAAGGGCACAATGGTAAAACCAAACCATGACTTATCATGCACGATAGATCAAAATAAGAAAGTAATCCTAAATTTTAGGATGGCCATTAATACGGGAGTAACTTCCGCCACACAATAAGAAAGATTTGTTTTATAATGATTTCTGTTGTGAATTCCTGAGAATGACAAGTGTGAATGTTTCATCCTTGTCATCAGGACACTAATCCAATTCCAGTCCTTGTAATAGACAGATGTTTAGGTTTAATGTTGCCAGCAAATTATGTAGAATCATTCCTAGATGATTCATCCCAAGTCTGGCTAGTATAAATAGGGCATTCAATCCTTTGTAAAATTAATTCAAGCAATTCAGAAACTCAGAAATTTCAGAGATTAAGAAGAAGTTATTTAAGAGGTTATTATTAATATATCTATCTCTTTAATCTATTCTGCATCTTCTTCATTTCACAACACGTTATCAGCACGAATCAGCTCAAGCATCTTCAAGAAATCATCTTCTTGCAGGTAGGAACATAATTATGTACTATTATGTTCTCATTACTTAATATTCCGGCCAAAGTAAAATTATAATGAAATTTAGAAAAGTATATTACGGAGTATATATGTGACTGTCCAAAATTAAAATTTTACTACATATTTGTTTATACACTAAAAGATAATAGGAAGTATAACATGCGTACCTTGAATATGTTCTTCTCCTCAATCTTGATAAACTATCGTAACTTAAAGATATTAAAAAATATAGGTGATATATACACTAATACACTACTGCCGGAGTAAGACTAGATGAGCTAAAGATTGAAGTAAAATATTTAAGCTACCAGAGCACACCATTCATCTATTAGACATGCAGATATCACGGGTCTTGTTGCAGGAAGCAGTCTTAATATTCAGTCCTCACGGATAGTAGTATATATTATTATATTCTAGACTTACTTCTAGAGTTCTAGCTAGTTAAAGCCCCCTCATGTTGCCACTAAAGAACATTTAAGCCCCCTCATGTGGAAAGATAAATGTAAGAAGTGCATGCTATGGTAATAAGCCACGTAACAAGTTTGAGATAAGGATGACTATTTAATATTTCAATTGCTATACGGTAGTTTTTGTTTTTTATCTGCCAAAATAAAAGAAAATAAAGTACGGAATAAAATACAATTTTGCTAGTGTATCTGCTCTTAATTTTTGAGCTTGCCGAAGAGCTTTTAATTTTCTTCTACGGAGTATAATTCATTTTGTTTATAATATAAATATATGTGATGATTTTAAAAAACATATGACCAATTATAAGTAGAAGTCATCTATGCTTTAAACATAATTCCTGATATCTCTAATGAATATGTTAAGTAATGTAATTTAAACAGGCCAATGAATTTTGTTCGTTCTAACTACTGAACGATTTAGTATTCAACTTTGAAATAAAGCTCACTTCTGTTGTTCAAAACTAAAATCATACATATCACGATTTTACATACTACTTATATGTCAAAGCTTGAAAAATTTATTCACTTACTTTACATACGATAGTATTGATGGAGTATATGGCCCAGGAACCCCCGGCCCACAGACTCCTACTTCTCCTACACAAGTCCGTTGGGCTCAGGGAACAACTCAGGCCCAAATACAACGGCCCAAGCCTCAAAGTAGCCCAGAATACACGCTGGGGTGCCTTCGGCCTCCTTGGCCGAAGGCTCCAAAACTCACAGAATAGCCTTCTTGGCATAAGAAGCTGCTGGGAGAAAACAGGCGAAAACATGAACCTTCGGCATTCTCACTCCCTCGGCATCAGAAAAGCCTTCGGTCACATGGGGCCCTCGGCTACACAAGGGGCCCTCGGCTACACAAGGAGCCCTCGGCTACGCAAGGAGCCCTCGGCTACACAAGGAGCCTTCGGCTACACAAGGAGCCTTCGGCTGAACTAGCTCAATCATCGAAGATTCCTTTTGGAGACAGCCAACCACCGCATTTAATGCCACGTCACATCCGCCAACCGCATTCAATGCGGTTGACGTACCATTGCCGGTGCCACTAGGCTGATGTGACCCTTCGGCCGTTGGATTACTGACACGTGTCCTCTCATCGCATTTATTGCTGCTATAAATAGCAGCCCATTTCTCCTTGTAATACACATCATCTACACAATCTACATCTCAACTCCACATCTCGAGTTCATTTAATAAAATCGACTCTCTCTCCTCCTATTTTGCTCTGACTTCTCTCTAGTTATTCCCGCAATAACCCCTCGGATAAGATACCCCCCGGGTAGACTATCCATCATTTGGTGCTCTCGTTGAGAGGTCAGAACAATCAAGTAAGAAACCCTCCCCCTCTACCAAATACACAAAACACTCGCCAAAAATGGGAAGAACCACCCGTGCCCAATCCAAAACCCTCGAGGAGAACCACGTAGCCCCCGGCGAGACTAACGGGGCTGAGGCCTCCAACAGGCTCTTAGTACCCGAGGGTGGTATCATCCTCGAATTGGAGCAGGCTACCGCTGACCTCCGTCAGCAGCTACAGAAGAACGCCCCCGATGCCCGCATTGGCCTTGATAATCGAAGGAGGGATCGGAGTGAGAACCAAGTTCCCCCTCCGGCCCCGGCCATCGATCTTCAGGCTGCCTTTGCGGCCTTTGTTCAGAACATGGCCCTCAATTCTGGAGCCCTCGCCTCTCAGGCACCCCTCCAGCCCTACGCTGGAGGGAACGTTATTCAATTACCACCGCTCCCTCCTCTGTTCAACAATCCTCCCCCGGGGATTGGGAACGCCGAAGGGGTCATGGCG